TATATTGTTTAAAAAAGGCTTTGTTTTCAGGCACCTTGTGCATCAGTATACACAATAAATGCATTTTATGTTTCCCATTTTATAAATTCAGAATCTGCTGTAGTCGTTTTGTTGTGATAGGGTTTCCTTTTCCTAATGTATGTGGACTCCAAAAATAGTGCAGGTTGCTGTGGTCTCACTATTTGATCCTTTACTTGGTGACTAAAACACCGGTGATAAATGAAGTGCGACCATAGAAACTGTAAGCCCTTTTTCTTTCTTTCTGACTTTTCTAATTGCCGAACTTTCTCCTCTTAACACATCATCTATTGCCAAATTATTACGGTGCAATGAGAACGGGAAGGAGGGTGAGGAAAAGTGGGGTGGAGGAGACACCACCACTACCTTTTGCAGCATGCATAAATCACCAGGCTAATAAATTGAAAGCTAAATGACTTCTTGCCCTCCACATATATCATGGTGGCAAACCAAATGAAGCCGTATATACCCCAGAGGACAGAGGAATGCTTCTGTTCATTACAGTGATTTGTAGATGCCCCCATGGCTGTTGACTTCAAAAATCTGAGTCGAACTGTTTGGACTCATGCATGTTTACTTATAGCAGCATGGTTATGTGTATCAGAAATCTATTTATTATGACAAAATACCCCCAAAATCCATTCATGTCTACATTTATCCTTCTCCATTTTCAATTATACTTCCAAACCATCACATTTTCTGTACAACTTCAATTTCTTGCTGGTTTTTTACCTTAAAGTAAAATGATGTGTTCCCGACCTTTATTATTTATTACTTATGACTTGCCATGCTGAAAAATTCAGGGAACTCATTGTGTTGCTATCATGAGATAATTTCTGTTTCCGATAAAATACATGATGATCCCATTATTACGTTTTAATATACATTAAATAGGTGTTCGTTACCAATAACACATGAGACTTAATATAAATGAGGAACTGTGGAGAGCACTGAAACTCTCAAGATCGATACAATGGCGCCACCCACTGGGCTGAAACCACCAGGGTCTGTGATTCTTCAAGGTGTTTTGGGGTTTACCATAAAAACACACAGCACTGTTTTGCAGATATACTGCGCAAGCTTCTGTATAGTAAGATTTATTTTTGATACCCACATTTATAAGAGTGAAATCAAGTTTAAATAACTGAATACAGCCAAGAATAGTTCAGATAGTTGTGTTACTGAGAAAACATGAAACCGTTTGAGGGCAGGATATAAAATGCTTTGCCGTAATATGAAGGATAGTCAACGTCTTCTCAGTTAATGTATCGTTCAAATTTCTGTGAAAAAAATATGCACTAATGGACGAAGTTTGTCTCGGCTGTTAGCCGGGACAAGTGCCAGAGGAAACAGCAATTTCAGCACTTTTTTTCCTCTTCTCCTTAAAGAAAATAATGTCCTGCCAACCTCTCCTTAATCCTGCCTGGATCACCACAGCAGGCTGAGCAGCTGAGATGGGCTTTGTTTGGGAGGTCTCACCTTGTCCGTCGTCCCGATGAAGAATAGGGTCCGTCTGGGACACTTCTTGAAACGAGTCTGTGGTGAGTGTTTGCCTTGAATGAACAAGACCAGGGAAAATACAATGAAATATACATAAAGTATGCTGAAGAAACTTAATGTGCATATCAGAAACAAAATCTTAGCACGTTAGCTGTGTGCCTCTTTTAGAAATGCTGCAGTAAATGATTGCACTTTAGAGTGCGAGAACATTTTCAGAGTCACATTTTATTCTGCAATGATTACAGGAGACAGAATCTGTATTTCCTTCATACAGTCAAATATTCTCACACTGAAAGGCAGCACTCTGTGTTGCCGCAGGAGTGTCGGTGACAAGGACTTAATGTGTTAATTCATTGATGTGTCATGAGGAACAGCAGGGAGCTCTGAGTGAAACACAACAGCAGCCTGGAAGAAGCTGTGTACTTCAACACATACTCTATAATGACTGATATGTTATGTTTTTTTTTTGATCATACAGTTGCATTGAGAACAGCCTTTCCAAAGTTCAAAAGAGAGATGCTAGTCAGCCCTTCTTGCAACTAAAAATGCCCTTTTGTGAGTGAAGTGGTAAAAATAAGACAGACCGCGGTCTACTGAGAAGTGGATGAGTGAATGTGGTACGTCAAAAAGAGACGGTTGCATAAGGCAAAGTGTTGTGGTGGCTCTGTTGTGGTATAGAGTTCCTGTTTACTGGAGTACATTTCCTGCTCCATAGACTAGGGTAATGCCAGGAAACTCGAAGCAAGCAAAGTAGTTTTCTCCTAATGGAAACTGAATCATTCAGTAACAAAGCCCATAATAATGGCGAACAAAGGCTCACTTAATGGTGGAAAAACAAACCGTTCTGCTAAAAGCAATTTTACACCACGAACATCAAAACAACGGATGAAGATTATTGTATAAGACTTGCATATCAATGTTTTCTCATTATAAATGCATGACAATGACCTCACTGGAGGCTGAAGGTAGTATTGTAATACAACATTTACACGCCTTTTAATTTGAATGCCCAATTTAGAACAAAAAAAACGGGATGAAAGTAACAAATTACATTTTTTTTGTTTTGACCTATTTAAGAACATATCCTTGTCAATATGTAGTATTTGGTGACATCTAGTGGTGCGGTTGCTGATTGCAGCCACATTAAAATTGTCCCGTGTTCCAAGCAGATAAAAAAAAAACTACGGTGGCCGATACGAAAACGTGAATGGTCCTATTTAGAGCCAGTTTCTTTTGTTTCGTCTGTTCCGGACTACTGTAGAAACATGTCTGTGTAACATAGCGGCCTCCGTGAAGCAATGTGATCTCATCCGTGCTCGTTATGCTTTGCCCCTTGGGCAGAAGCCAGGCAGCCTTTTAGTATCCTGATGCTGAGGGTTTGGGTAAATGTTGTGAAACAGTTGCTGTTAGGTCAAGGAAACAAAACCACTTAGTAAGGGTTAGAAAAACAAAATCATGGTTTGCCATCAAGTAAGTAACGTAAAGTAAGCGACGGATGTACTGTCGTGTCAATCAGTGGCGTGATGTTGTGACATAACGTCAGTAAAAAAAATCACTCAACTTTTGGTTTCACAAGGGACACAAACCCAGGTCTCCCGAGTAAAAGTCCTTAGTTGTAGGCTTCTTCTTGCATACTACATCCCTTGCCCATAGCGTCTAATAATGATGCTGATGGGTTTAAAGTGTGCGTCGACCAGTCATTCAGATACAATGAAATCTGCCAAATCTGGACAGTTTGTTTACAGGTTCTAGCCCTGCAATCTCGTATCCAGAAAATGTTTCTCTGTTTTTCATTTCATGTACATTTGAACAGAGCAGAATTTGAGAAGTTATATCTAAACGTGCTCTTAGTATTTTCAGTAACACCAGGTAGGATCATGTTTGCTGTTGAACCCAGTGAGCCACTCAAGTTACAGACTATTGTTTAGGAGTCAGAATGGGGTCATTTCCCCCCATTTAAATACAGCTTGTGGGAGGCTTGATTTACAGCTGATTCTTTTCGGTCTCCAACAAATATTTGGAGAATCAATTTTATATAATGTCCTGTTTCACTCACTTTGTGGTCAAATACAACACGTCCTCTGTTTAGTAGTGGCTTGTAGCCAGGTGAACGAGGTGAATGTCAACCAACCTCCGATACCACGACTATCTAGAAGCTCCGTCATCGACATGTGGGCTGTAAAGGACAAATATGTGTTTATTAACGGTGTTTTATCCTTTCACAGCAATGTGCAATTACAGTAACATGAATGACAAGAGGTTACATTTTTCTCACAAAAATATACAACCTCAAACAGCCAGCAATATTCATAATAATTAACTGCTATCTGCACTCTCTCACTGCTGCTATAAAAAGCCCCCAAAACAAAAGCGGTCACAAAATTACACAAATTAGTCACAATTAGTTTTTTTTTTTTTTTTTTTTTTTTAACGCCTCACTGCGTCTATGAAATGGGGGGCCTAGAAAGGCAGTGTCCATTTTTAAATTGGATGCCTCAAACGTTTTTTGTGTCCCCGATTTCGCCGTTGCACTGTCGGTGCTTCACCCTGTATCTCTTTATGACAGCAAAAGCTACATCTTTCATAATATATAAGAACGATTAGATCATTTTTCAAGCCATTAGATTTCTATTTCTGTATAGCTCATTTATAACTGTTTCACTAAGTATACAACACATTCATACATATATTTTTATAATGCATGTATGTTTATAATAATAATTGTTTTTTTTAGTTTTTGGTAACCTCTAATATCTTGCACTGTAACTGAGCACATGATGCATAGTCATAATCTTATATGTTTGAGATATTCACAGCTATAGCAACAATGTTCAGTATTTATATTTAATCATTGATTTTGCTTCTATAACTCATTGTTAACCATTATCTCTGATGAGTCGCATGTAGAGCTTCCTGAACTGACCCTCACTCATGTTCGACTCTCACTGAATCACTAATTTCTTGTTTTACATTTCACTAAACATCAACTGCAGTGTTTCATATCCCTGAGTTTGTCCTTGATGTTCCCTCTAAACTGCTACTCTCTTTAGCCTCTTTCAAATAAAATACAATCTTACACCCATTCTCAAATGGGAGATTGAATCAGCTCCCTCTGTTAACTGATCTGTTTTCTCTACTTGATTTACTTTTACTAGGCTGCAGTCAGTGAGCCAAAGTAAAGTCAGCTCAGCATTCTGTGCTCTCTGTTTGACAGAGAACCAGCACACAAAGCTCTGAGCTGAAACTAGCCTAAACAAACAGTGTCAGAAAAAGCAAACAGTCTGAGGAAATACGTCAAACACTTCGCGGAAAAGTCATTTGTTTCCGTGTCGTGATTTAACACAACTCAACTGGACAAATGACAAATGTCACATAAGTTAAGTATTGGAATATGATTTGAATGTAAGTATGTAGTTTGATAGCTCCCTGTCATTTTCGCTATTAGTTGAACCTCTGCATTTATTAGAAAACGGATCAGATAATTTACTGCAGTTTATTTATTCATGTCATGCAACACATCTTTATTTCAGAATCAAAGATATCAATTGTTTTTCTGTGAGTGAAGGCACTGCGTACTGTACATATCTAAAACATTTCACTACAGTATAAAAATAACATTTAAGTCATATATTTAAGAAACAATAGTTTATGACACTTGTATAGTAGCATCTTCATGGTTTGTTTACTGGCATCGGGAAAATGTAACTTTGGTAGAACATTCTAATTTTCAGCACACAAACTCAATTTAATGTCCTGGCAGTGCTGCAACCCTCGAGATTGTTAGTTAGCAACAGTGTTCACATTAGTATTCACTACCTACATTATTTTACAGAAAACTAAAACTCAAAAAATCCCATTGACACAAACTATCACAGGAGCCATAAAGGTGACATGGATCTTAATACTGTGGATCCTTAAAAAAACAAACTGAATACAGTAAGTAAGTTAAGTAATGTACTAGAAGTTATCAAATTAGATTCATAAATAATATTTTAACCTGGTTTTTAGGTAATTCACTTTTGTGTATTGTTAGCCTACTATTAACAGGCAAAGGAATAAAAGATGAAAACACCCGTTGAGATTTTTCATACCCAGGAAAATTGATGTCAGTCGGGAACAACTGATCTCATAAACATTTCACAGAAATAGATCCACCAGAATAAACTTTCACGTTAAGGCTTCATCACATTTGTGTACATAGAGACAGAGAGAAAAGTGCCAGACTACTCTTCATTTTCTTCTCTTCGTAAGATGAAAGGACATTCCTTCATTGCTCAAAAATGTAAGAAAAATATTTCACATTCACCAAGTGAGATCCAAACATTAAGTGCAAGTACCTGATTGGATTTCAATGAAGTAGCTTCTAATGCCTTGTGTTAAAATAAGCAAAACTATACAATGACAAAAAAAGAACAAAGTAACATCAAAAACAACATCAAAGCCTTATTGCTGTGTAACAAAACCTCTGTTTTTCCCAAGTGCGTGTTTAGGAATTTGGGTATGCAGAGGCTCGAAAGATATCCAGACAGTTCGCTGTGATGAGGGCACCAGTCAACTGCCTCCACTGTCGGGTGGCAGGGTGTTTCATTTTGTCCAGGACCAGGTGCAGATCCTGGATCATGTCCCTGTAGCTGTCCCCATACCGCAGACTCCAGGAGTACAGGAAGTCGTAGGCGGGCTTCCACATTGACTTAAACGGAACAGAAAATACAGGAATCATCATACATCACATTCACTGCAGAAATGCCACGAAATCGGTGTTAACTACTCTTTATCCATCGCCTGCTGTGTCAGTGTGTGTGCTGTTAAGCTGACCTGGGCACCGACTTCCCTGCTCTTCCCTCGGTGCGGCGCCTCGTAGTCCGCTATCTGAGCACTGGACAGTTTGCCCATCTTCTCCGCGAGCTCCCGCCATCGAGCTCCCAGCTCCACAGCTGTGGACAAAATGACTGTGTTCTGAATCAGCTGGGCCACAAGATTCACCGAGTCCATCTTCAACAGACCCTGTGGTGACAAACGCAGAGATAAACGGTCACTAAAACCACGGGAAGCACAGGACATCGGAGCATACGGGCTGTGAAATTGCTATTTATATCGTTTTTCTCGACTTACCACCATGAGCTCATGCAGAAACTTTTTCCTGCTCTTCTCAGCGTGGCAGTCTTCCTTCAGCGTTTCTAGTACGCAGGCCACTTTATCAGCCTGAGTTTCAGCGTGCCTCCGTGTGATCGTGTCCAGCGACAGCTTGCCGTACCCTAAAGCATCAGCCAAACCTCTCCAGCTGCTTATGTGTTCAGTGACCAGCGTCTGGATGGCGGAGTACATGTAAGTAAGCTTCTTGAAAGGCCGCGTCATGTTGTCCAAGAGGACCTCTGTGGTGATTTCAATGCCGGTGAAGTCGATCACTTGGTCTGCGGTTATGAGCTTGACGTTCTTGCAGTGAACCAGACCGGTCCTGCCTCGGAGGAATCCGATATACCACTCCTTTACTTTGGAGTTACCCACTGACCTGACAGTCTTTCTGGAGAGGAGAGCTACAGTGTCCCCCTTGAAATACTCCAGAAGGTAGTGTACGCGTGGCTGACGGAGGACTGACTTTAAGGCCACACCATACCACTGTAGGTTCACCGGTCTGTCTGTGAATTTGGGCAAATCTGGAACACTTTCCTCGGGGATAGGTGAGCTTCTTGTCATTTCAATGCGCTTTTCTGCGCTTATTTGCCTCGGCACTCGCTTCTCTGATCTGGCGGGTGCTGCGGGAGGGGAAGGCACCTGGAAATGTGCAACAATTGCATCTTTTGATTCTTTCACCTGCAGATCTAATTGAAAAGGAGTCATTTCTGTGTTACTCTCACAAGATAACGCAACTGGCAGATGAAAAACTGTCCCTATTTTGAGCCGACTTTGTCTCACTTCTTTCAGTTCGTCCTCGGCTTTGATTTTGAACATTGAGTCGGTGAGGCTAATACCGACATGCAGGTTGGTCAGTTTGTCTGGTTTGAACCCATGTTTTCCCCAAAGCTGCAGCACAAGTGGAGGTATATTTTTGTTCCCCCTGCAGATCTCTGAAAACGGAAGCCTTGGCGGAACGTCCTCATGACCGCAAACCACTATTACGACCTTGAATGATGGATGGATATACCTGGGGCCATAAACTGCTACCGTGATTTGGCGATCAAGGTAATCCCACACCGATGTAGCAGGAGACTGGATTGCAGAGGCCTCCGCGACTGCAACTACATAAAAATGTGTCTTAAGGTCCTGCAGCTTCATTTGCATCACATTCTTATAGATGTAACAGTCGTTCCCTTTAAGATAAGGTCCCTCTTTTTTGTTGGACACCAGGCCGACCACAGTAGTCATCACCTGACTCAATGGGTCGCTCTTCACCTCTCCGGCCAATTTCATCTCCAGAGAGATGCACTCCTTTATGTTGATGTTGCTGAGGACCACCTCTAGAAGTGGACTTATGGTTGTCACGTAGTTGTTATTGAGTCCAGGAGGAGGGTCTAGCATTGCTTTCAGTGTAACTTCCTGGACTTCTCCTGCAGGAACATGGCCTTCTGGGACATGGATGCTAATTTCTGAGGATGGCAACTGTACTGAGCCTCCAGTGTGGCCGATCTTGCAGATGACCTGAAAGTCAGTGGCCTGTGTCTGAGCCCAGCCTGGACTCTGGCTTATCAGGTTTAAGTCCAGACACGAGCGGGTTAGCTGCCTGTGGCTCAGCCAGGCCATCTTGTAGGCCTCTCTGTCGTTCTTAAGCCACTCAAAGTCTGGGTTCAGCACCGGCCCAGGCGGTTTGAAGCTGTTCTCTTGTTTTGGCACTTTTCTCTCCAGATCATCCAGGATGTCAGAAGCACTTCTGCATCTCCCAGATCTGTCGATGGCTTGGTTTTTGTTTTCCAAAAAGTTCCCCACGTTGCCTTCATCCGAAGATGTGCTAAAGGCGTCATCGTTATTTGTGTCTAAAGGATTTTCATTGATTTGCTTCACATTAACGGAGCTAGAAATGTGTTTGACTGTGCTGCTGTCTACAATGTCATCCAAGAAAGGATTCGATCGAGACAGTTTGTTCCAAAAGGGATTTTTCGACTGAGACGAACGTGCGTCTTCTGGGTTTGAAAGGGGCCACTCAGAGTTCTGTGCCACATGCACACCTGTGAAAATATTAGGAGTTTGGTTAGGACATTGATTAACATTATCTTAAGGTTTTCAAATTCAGAACACCGGCTGTCTCTGCTTCAAAGTGATCATTTTACCATTCCTGTTGTCACTGGTGGAGTCTTTGTCATCCAGATCAATCAGTGTCCCCTCAGATTTACTCCGCATGAGACTCCCAACACGACGGAAGGACCTTCCTCTTCCAGCTGCCATATCATCTGTAAACATAAAAACTTTACTGTTTTAATTTCTAAATGAACTTGCAGCTTTTACTATTAAACAACTTTACTTTATTTCTTGAAGATGCATCCTGGATTTTTTTTTTCAGTTTATTTATCAACTTGTGCCTACACAGTTTGGATTTACTAGCAAATACTATGGCAACAGCTGTCGTTGGTTTACAAAACATAAAAGGACACAAAATAAGTAATGGGACCGCATGGGAACAAAATGTGTATATATAATTTATATATCTTTTTTTAAAAGTAATAACTAAATTAAATATACAGAAGAAGAAAAAGGAGACGATGAAAAGAAAAGCAAGAGAGAGAGGAAATAAATAAGCTGTGCGATCTATTTCGGTTTAGATACATTTCATGCAACTTTGCAGGATGGGTTTGTTTTACCGTTAATGCTTTCTGTGTTTTTGATATGCTGATGTCACCGGAATTAATTTAACCCTTCTTGGGCTCAATCAATTAGTCAATTAATTGGTAATAAAATAAATCGCCAACAATATTATTGCATTCATATAAGTCATAAGTCATTATTTAAGCACAAATGCCAACATTTTACTGTCTACCGGTTCTGAAGTATGAATATTTGCTGCTTTTCTAAGTCAAACTGAAAATCTTTTCGATTGCTGTTTGGACGAAATAAACAATTTGAACGTGTTTGTATTGGATTCTCTGTAATTTTTCATATTTTTTTTCCCCGTCTACATTTTACAAAAGATTATTCAAAAAAAAAAAAAAAAAAAAAATGAATAGGCAGATGTATCTTTTAAATGAAAGTCTTCTTTAGTTGCGGGTCGAAACATAAGCCGACTTATATTTTGAGGTGCTGTGACACATGACGGCAACCGACACCGAGAGTAAAGTTATTGTTCTGTCTCAACTATGTTTCCCTCAGCACAGAGCGCCTCAGGCTCTTTGCAGTCTGTTACAGGAAAAGTGTTCCAAGCATGGAATAAAGCCCCAACTCTTCGGCTTGTCACTGTTTGCGTAAATGGACACTACCCATTCATGGCTTGTCACAGTGAGTCAGTCATTAATAATGTGTTTTCTTACACCAGTGCACAAAAACAGGTTGGTCTTGTCAGGCCTATGACACAGTAGTCCGTTCTCTCAGCGCTTCTTGCTATGATCAAAGTGCAGTGCCACTGTACAACTGACAGTACAAATGTGTATTCTGATGAAATACTACATGACGGGCTTATTTACGATGCACTGTACTGTGATTCCTGTACAGTAGCCCTACTCGATAATAAATAAACTAGTCTAATTATAATCTTGTGCATGTTACCCTTTTTTTTATTTAATCAGATAATACATTCTCAAACAAATCTGACATTCATTAATAATCCAGGCGGAGTAAGTAGTGCACAGCAGCACAGATTCAGAGTTAAAGCTCCAGCTTTACGAGCTGCACCAGTCTCACCGACATGTAGCCTGTCGGTGTCAGCAGGTGTGCTGCCATACAGCTACTCAGTAGTTACACATTAATAAAGCTATCCCGTACAGGCCACTTCCTTCTGTGAAAATGAGCGGATAAAAACCAACAAATGCGAGAAAATAAAACAAAGTTTGATCTCACCGTCGGCATGAGATGGTTTTAGTTCTGCTTCCGAGCGTTGGCAGGAAAAGAGGCCAATCCACTGTCAATAAACACGTTTTTTTTTTTGTTTTTTTTACTAGGGCGTGACTATGATGTTCACCTCCTCGCGTTTCGGCTCTCTACCCTGTTTGCGCTCAGGCACGGAGCATTTTGGGACTGTGAGTTTAGACTGGTACAGGAACTCCGGCGGAGGAGTGGCCTTTCACGGATTGCGACTACAATACCCGAAATGCACATTTCTGTTTACGCACGAGACTTGCATCACCTGAAACTGAGCGATACCTCTGTAGTAGTTTCGACCGGAGTCCCGAGTTTAGTGATAAGCGTCCTAACGAGGTTGCAAAAAACGGGCTCACACCGGTTGGAGTAGACACAATAACCAAGGTCAAACCACCCAGTGAGCATGTAAATATTAGTTAAATATATTTACACTCATACGGTGAAGCCCCCACTGCATTGGGGGAATTTGGCAGTAAAAAACAAATTGTCAGGTGCTTGTTGTGGTAATACGCCAGTCATAACAAAAGAAGGGTTATACTAGTATTTCATTTTATTCATCTTGGTCATTCATTTGAGACTTATTTTAAAAATAGTTGAGTTTTCTTGATCTAATCTCAAGGACACAAGTCATGTTATCGCTCTGAACAGGTTCCATACATTTACTGTGATGAATGCCTGAATAGATCACTATTTGAGACTGCTGTAGCGTTTATATTCGTTATAGAAATAATCCAACACAAAACCACTATTTCAGCTGCTTATGGCTTTGCAGGTTCATGCCAAAGCGTATGAAAGGTAATAACTTCTAATATCTCTTTGGGAGGAACTTGGTTTGTTTTGTAACTGTTATCTTCGCTGATGAATATCCGCACTGGAGTTTAAATGGGCTGTCAGAGATGATGTGGTCTTTGGATGGAGGCCCTGGCATCCAAGTTCACAAGGAATGCAACTAAGCACTCTTGAGTAGATTATGAATTTTCATGCAGCAAATGTGGTCAGTGGCTGCTGCAGCCTGGACTTTAGCATGACTGATTAACATCCCCCTCCTACACAAGTCAAAGTATTTTATATGTGATTGAGCACAAAACTAATTGAATGTTGAAATGTGTTCATGAATGTTTTATATCTGAACTCCCCTCTGTTTTGCACCATTCATTATGCTCCTGAGTTGTGCATGCGTGATGTTGGTGTTAACTGCCTGAATATGAAACAAAACAGACAAAATCTGCCACATTTCACCTGCACACCGTTGCAATCATTTCATTATCGGCACTGAGCCAGATTGTTTGAGCTGCGTTCCAAATCGCAAACTTTTTTATTTGTACTAGATTTAGTACGTACAGCTGACCTTACAATGTATGAACTGTTGCATGCAGTATATGCATACAAGTGGGACACACTACGATTTCATGACATTGTACCTACAACTTTGACCCTATTGCTCATGTCGCTGCTATGCAAAGGATTGTGGGTCAGAATGGCCAGAAAAGCATCCTGGCTTGCATACTGCTAAATATGACCAGATGCAGTAGGACATCCTGGTATTTTTGGCATACTGCAAATGACACATAGTATGTATTGGGACATACTAAATAGTATGGTAGTATGGGTATTGGAACGCACAGTTACTATTAAGTATCTGAAGAGAAAGATGTGTTAGCAAATCTGCTCCCTTGTGGCTGTTGTAAAAATGTGGATGGGATAATGCTGGTGGCATGCTCTATTTTTATTATCCAACAAATTTCATGAAAAGACTCAAACCAACAATGAACTGATTCTACTATTGCTTGTGTATCCAAAGCTGTCCATTTAGCTGCCTCAGTGTCGGGGTCTATTGTGCATAACTCTGTCACACTGTCGTGGTTAGACATCTTTAACTTTAGTTTTACCTGCTTTTCCTACGATGACAGGACAACAAGTCTGCTGTGGGGCCGTTACCACATTATGAGGTGCAGTTATTAATGAAAATGCTTTACATCTACCCTCACTGATAACATTTGTCAAATTCGATTATTTTAGATAAAGATCAGTTTAAGTGTTTGTTTTGGAAAAGAATAATTATTCTGTTCTATTTAAAATTCACAAACGGGTAGAATGACAAACTTTGTAATTCAAAACTGTGGAACTTCTGTAATTTCTGTCACAATTCAGGAATAGCTTTCAATAAAGTCTGCGAAACTCAATTACTGCTAACAGATTTATAGATTTGAATGAATCAAATTTAGGTGATTTTTATTTCATTTATCCAACTTAATGTGCAAACCCAATTTTAACCCCCTGGATAATTAAATGCGTTATCATCAAGTTAAAGAATATGACAAACTGAATTTAAGGCTCAAATTTTGGAAAGGGTGAAGCTGACATGTTTTTGCCACTTGGTGGAGCTATTTCACCATCGTTCCTTCGGTCAGACTTTTCAGTGCTTTTTTTATTCTAAACCTAAAGAGAGGGGGTGTCTTATCTGTTTGTTGTAGATCCAACAAGTAAGAAACTGTCTGCTAACACCAAAGCAGAAGCAGGGATTCAGATAAAATGTTGTGCAAATCATGACTGTAGATATTTTAAAAAGGCCCAAATAGAGCGGTGTACAACGTGGTAGTTTATATACAGTATGTCCATCATGGTTTCACAGAGTCCAAGTTGATGTCTTCAAATGTCCTTTTTTGTGTGTTTAAACCCCAAAGTTACTGTAATGTAAGACCAGGAAAAGCAGCAAATCCTCATATTCTGTTTGAACAGCTGGAACCATCAAATGTTTAGCATTTTTTTGAGTTGATTTTAAGAAAATTAAGTTAATTTATCGATTATCAAAATAGTTGCCAGTAAATTAACTTTTGTTGGACTAATTGTTGCAGCTGTCATTATCATATTGATGTTACCGATGTCTCTATCCATCACATTCACAGCGATAGGAAAGCTTTGGGAAACCCGTTTGTAGGCTCAGACATTTGTTTACAAAAACACTTTCACCAAGATGCTGTCTCAGGCCTTACCTGCAACAAGATCCTTCATCTTGAGTGAACTTTGTTCCCATAATCTTTACAATCACATGGGTTTCATAGAGAACTCTGGCTACATTTAATGTGATCATGTCTTTTAATCTCATGCCTTCTCTGGTTTATGTGAGTGTAAGCAGCCCCAAAGACTTTGAGGTGGTTCACCCTGATATCACGTCTTTGTCTCCATTTCATCGACGGTGTTTTTAGGAAGAAAAGTAGTTCCCTTTGATCCTGTGGTGAGCAATATTTGTTTTATACACAATGATGTGATGAAGCCATTAAATTGGACTCTCGAAAACCAGCAACAGAGCTGAGGTTCAGTCTGCAGGTATTCCACTCAGCGATCAGACAGGTGAAACACCACCTGTGACGTAAATGAATCTAAATTGCCGAAAGCATTGTATAAGGGCACCGCTGTCAGTGTTGCAGCAATTACTGTTAATTATTTTGACTAACCTCTTGTGCCTCGTCAAATTGCCTTTCCCGGGAGATTGGCTGGTTTGATGACAATGACCGTGTGGTTGGCGGTTTTAACCACAAAATTGGCCACAGATGCATCATCGGTGAGAGGTGTTACCGCAACACTGTGATTTGCTGGTAGAGCTAGAAAACCCAATACATCTCATCATGCCAATAGGAGCTGGTATTTCCATGAAACCTCAGTCAAGACTGATTCAGCTTGACTTTTATTCAGCGGGATACGACATTTCAGCATTTCTTAAAACCAGTGTAGGATAATATCATGTATCTTTTGTGTTTTCTAGGTGACTGGATCAAAGCTGGGTTTGGCTTGCCGACACGCTGTGTGCGCTGACTAAACCTGTTATTGTGGACTTCATCCACAGTTGGCAGCTCACCCTCTTCATCATGGCATGTGTGCCCTTCCACTCTGAAGCCAATTTAACTCAAATACGGGCAGCGGCGGGGCCCTCCTTAGGGGACCAGGTGATGCCACAACAGTCTGTGAAGGTAGTAATACCATGACAACACAGTGCACTCTGAGACATTAAGCCCAAATGACTCTGTTCATATTTAATCATCACTTCTTGACACATCTGTTGAGGCAGTGGAACACTTCAAAGCTGTTGTTATTTGACACAAATATATATTTTCTGTTCAAGCCACTTTGAGTAAAACGTATCGCTTGACACATTTCAGTAGCAGTTTGGGGTAATAAGAGAGCAGTAGTTAAATTAATCTGATGTCCTCCAGTCCAGGTTATTGTCTGTTTTTGAAATGTATTTTAAAACTATACAAAAACCCTGGCCTGTAAGTACACGTGGCATTTGACAATCTTTGTCTGTAATTACTTATCGTTTTTGGATTATTAGAAGTAATTCGAGGGGTTTAGTGTAGAGTGTGACTGGGCTGCAGGCTCATAACCCACAGTGCTTCAGTGACCCAACAAAGGCTGAATCTCCTCAGTCAAAGTCCATCTGCACCGCTATTGCAGTTCCTTGGTTCCCCCTAAACTTTGATTGGTTTCACTTTTAACTTTTGATATTATCCCCGCAGCGTCTTCTGGTTGACTGCACCATTGCAGAAAAAGTATGAACAGAGTAGAGGAGGCAGGGGAAGAGGATGCAAAGATGGAACCAGCTGCAACTTCATCCCACGTATGTGTGTATGTGTGTGCACTTGTACTTTTTAGCGTGTGTGGGAAGATAAAATTGAGAGAGAAAAAGAAACGGGCAACTAAGTATTCACTGTCGTTATGGGCTTTCCCCCCCCCCCCAGAAATCCGAACAAAACAGAGTATGTGAGTGACGGAAACAGAGAATATCTATAGCACTGGTTATACTGCAACAAAATGAGGCATATGGAATAGCAAGACCTGTAAGTCCTGTGTCTTTCATTTCTAGTTTGCTTTTTGTTTGAAACATTTTGAAAGCATTCTAATGAGCTTCTATCACCAGACTGTGATTAATCCCGGACTGACTGACATCTAAGCCAGACCTGCAGCATGTCTGATTAAAGGTGGTGAACTGATCACCTTATGTCGTCCTTTTCAATGCACATGTCTCATAATGTGGAGAAAAAAAGGCATCAGGGA